CTACCGGTGGTGGCCAGAGGGCCTGGTGGCGCCATTGTCCAGCAGCCTCGCCTCTGTCAGTGAGCCCCAGGGCGGCTGTGGCTATAATGTAGCTTGCCATCACCAGTGTGTGAATGTGTGTGTGAATGGGTGGATGACTGAATGTGTAAAACGCTTTGGGGTCCTTAGGGACCAAGTAAAGTGCTATATAAATACAGGCCATTTATCATAGTACTTAGTACATCTTTCTATTCGTGCACAAGCTCTAGATCTTTGGCTGTATATGATCTCTATATGTGTTCTGTGATGAGGTCAAACTTCCTGACATACACATATGGATGTAGTCTCTCACATGCTCATACCAGTGCTAGGGCTTCTCTTTACATTTGAGAATATATTTGCTCACAGTCTATTAAACTCCGACTTACGTAACACACTGGTACCTCTTCTCCGTTCTGTATTTGTATTAGCACTGCGCCCAAGCCTACAGGGCTTGCATCTGCTATGACCTTGGTTGGGGCTTCTTTGTCAAAATAGGCTACTGTACCTGCTCTGGCTAACTTCAATTCAATTTTAATTCAATTTTGTTTATATAGCGCCAAATCACAACAAAAGTCGCCTCAAGGCGCTTCATAGATACAGAGAAAAACCCAACAATCATATGACCCCTTTTGAGCAAGCACTTTGGTGACAGTGGGAAAGAAAAACTCCCTTTTAACAGGAAGAAACCTCCGGCAGAACCAGGCTCAGGGAGGGGCGGCCATCTGCTGCGACCAGTTGGGGTGAGAGAAGCAAGACAGGATGAAAGACATGCTGTGGAAGAGAGACAGAGGTTAAATGTGATTCAGAGGAGAGGTCTATTAACACATGTTGAGTGAGAAAGGTGACTGAAAAGGAAATATTCAATGCATCATGGGAATCCCCCAGCAGCCTATGTCTATTGCAGCATAACTAAGGGAGGATTTAGGGTCACCTGGTCCAGCCCTAACTATATGCTTTAGCAAAAAGGAAAGTTTTAAGCCTAATCTTAAAAGTAGAGATAGTGTCTGTCTCCCGAATCCAAACTGGAATCTGGTTCCACAGAAGAGGGGCCTGAAGGGTCTCCTTCCCATTCTACTCTTAAATACTCTAGGAACAACAAGTAGGCCTGCAGTGCGAGAGCGAAGTGCTCTAATAGGGTGATATGGTACTACAAGGTCATTAAGATAAGATGGGGCCTGATTATTTAAGACCTTGTATGTGAGGAGCAGGATTTTGAATTCAATTCTAGATTTAACAGGAAGCCAATGAGGGAGAAATATGCTCTCTCTATCTAGTCCCTGTCAGTACTCTTACTGCAGCATTTTAGACTAATTGAAGGCTTTTCAGGGAGTTTTTAGAACATCCTGATAATAATGAATTACAGTAGTCTTACTTAGAAGTAATAAATGCATGAACTAGTTTCACAGCGTCACTCTGAGACACTTAAAGTTCATGTTTTAAAAACATGTTTAGTGTTTTTCTGTCAGTACAGAACATAATGTCATGTGGTTGGTTTTGGGCTATTAGACTTATATTAGTTATGTTAGCTAACTAGACATCTCGGTTTGGCGTAGGCGTCACTCATAGGGATCATTTCGCGTAGAAGAAGATTGATATGATCTACAAGTTGATAACAACCCTTGTGATACTGGTTATCTACAATTAGGGTTTTAAATGTTGTCAAGCTAGTTAATGCAAACAAGGCCAAACCAAAACCAAAGGCAGGGCTGACGATACTCTGGAAACACAAAGTATGTTTCTGTCAGGTAAAAATGTATTTGTTATGTGCACCTCAATACCAGATGCAACCTATAATTTCCTTCGGGATTAATAAAGTATTTCTGATTCTGATTCTGAATTCATTATTTCCATAAGGTTCGTTTCACTTGCACTGCAACTTCAGTTACTCAACTCCAAGCGCTGTAATTTTATCTGCTGAAACAAGTAGTTCTTATACTTACGAGCCTGCTGGAATTAATTACACCAGCCTGGTTCCTTAATAAAAATTTGACATGTTCCAGTCCTTTTGATAAAACTGTAGCTTGTGCTTAGCTTGATGTCACAGAAACACATAGGTACAAGTCCAGTTAGAGGGCTGTTTTTATTTCAAAATTTAAAAATATTTCAAAATCATTGCAAATGCTTTTAATCAGTATAATTTACTTTGTTATCTGAAGACAATGTTGACATGTATATGCATTTGTATGATCTAGAGAGCAACTTTTTTCTGTTAGTGAGGTCTTTTGTCAAGTATGACATACTAGCAGGTAGAAGCACCTACTTGTTGAAAATGAGAAATCTGCACATTTATTATCTGAAGCAGTTAGAGTGGAGTGTGTGATATAACAAAAAAACTTAACCAGTGTAAAATGAAAACGAGCTAAACTGGAACACGGGTTATTTTCAGGAATCTCTCAGTTAACAAACACACAGATGTAGAGAGACCTGCTGCCCTCTTGGAGATTTTAATAAAGCTGCAAGAATCCTTTAGGATTATTAAGAACCTATTTTTAGGTTTTTTTCTCTTCTTTGCGGTTCACAGGGCCTTAAGTGAAATATTTATTTTCACTTTTATACTGTGATCTCTGATTCATTCTCAAAAAGAACTCCCCGTCTTTTCTCCCACTCTAACTCTAGAGTTACAGTGGTAATCTATACTAACTAAAGTTAATTGTTTACACGTAAGGCATTTACACAACTGGCACATAATTAATTGTTAATTTCGTGTCCCTTTTTCGCGTTCAGTGTGTAATAGCCTTTAGCCTTGAGTGGCTAGCTGTAAACAGTTAGCCACTCTGGGCTAACAGTAAACACAAGATGCAGGGTTTACGCTTAGCTTAACTGTGTTGTAATGTAGTGTCACTTCTGTCAGTTACCACAAATGTTGAGTCATGTCACAAAGTTTCCTGTGCCCTCGCAGACTAACCTCACCTCATTTACTTAGCCTGGCAGGGCAAAGGACACTGTCTCAGCTGAACTCTGGACACACACATACACATACACTGATATGCACACACTGATCCCCCTCCCTTTCCAAACGCCTTCGATGCTTGTGCCCTACCGGGGAAGATGGCAGTCGACTGGACCAGCGCAGACATGCTGCAGGACCGGATGCACTGTCTACACCGGCTCTCTCTTACCCTTTACCCGCCCCTGTTGCTTGTCTTGTGTTTCTATGGTGTATTGATAGTCATGTGCTTTTTGTGCTGAGGTGTTTTTTCTGTTATCAAACTGTTCTCCCACTAGGAGCTCAGTCTGAGTGGAGTTTTTTTTCTCCTCCTCTTACCTCATCCTATGTATTTTCGTTGTTTTTTTCCTATCAGCCTACCTTTCTGACATGTCTCCTCAATGTGATGTTTTTGTAAAGTTGGTCAGAAGGTTCCTTTGTAAGTGCGCATGCGCCATTAGCGTGCTGCCGCTATAACCCTAATTTCCTTTGGGATTAATAAAGTATACTGATTCTGATTCTGATTCCACACAGATAACCAGCACAAAGAGGAACATTTGCTGCTTGGCTACAATATTTTGTAAAGGACGCAGAAGGATTTCTTTTCTCATCATGAACACATCAAACATCACTGACGTGACAACAGAAGACCGGGTTTATGCTGGGATCTTTAGCTTAATTATGGTGATAGGTCTGCCTCTCAATGCGATCTCACTGTGGATTCTTCTTCGCCGGCACAGCCTCAAATCACCCAACGCTGTTTTCATGGTTAACCTGGCACTCTCAGACCTGCTGTTGGTCTTCACTTTGCCCATGAGGATCCACTTTCACGCCACAGGGGAATGGACTCTGCCCAGTGGGGTGTGCCTCATCATCACAATGTTCTTTCGCACCAACATCCGCTCCAGCTCCTCCTTCATCACCTTCATAAGCGTGGACCGAATGCTGGCTGTGGTTTATCCTATGAGGTCTCGCAATCTTCGAACCTCGTGCAATGCCTGGAAGGCTTCTGTACTCGTCTGGGTGATTTTGCTGGTGATGAACATCCTAGAGAGTGTGGACTTTCTAAAGCAGTTGAATAACCACACTCGCCCTACTTGTTTTGAGTCTTACGAATCTGTAAAATGTCCTTTGGAAGGAATCCGATTAAGAGTTATTCAGTTTATGATTGTAATATTGGTCACAATGCTGTTAGTCAATATTGTGTGCACCAGTATGGTGTTTAGGACTCTACACGGACATCTCAGTGGTGACTCTCCAAAAATCAACAACAAGATGAATGTAATGCTGATTTTTGCCATAAACTTGATTTTATATGCTATATTCTTACCTGTGCCTATAACTATGGCTATGGATTGTGCCCATGTCAAGCCATTGATATGCCTTACTGTTTTAAACTGCTGTCTGGATCCTCTGTTGTATTACTTCTCTTTTGATGCTTTCTGGAAGAAAAAAGAAGATGTTGTGTAAATGTAAATAAATGGGGATACTGTCTGTGTCACACACTGCTCAGGCCTTTTACTTCAGCTGTGTGTGTGTTATTTTATAAATAAATGTAATATATTTTGTTTTTAAAATCAAGCTGTAGACTTGTTTTTTTTTAAGCTCACTGCCAGTTGTTTATTGAGAGATGCACTTGCCACCACAAACATATGATTTTATAGAATATGAGGCATTACCAAAAATTAAACACCATATGAAGCAGTTCAAATGAGGTCAACTCTAAACATCAGCAGCAGCAGTAATACTGATCAATATAACAGCATTCATATGATCAATATGGGGAACAGCTTTTCTGCAGTAAAAGTACTGCTGATGATTTATGTAGAATTTAGTGTAAAACACTTTCATGTCTAGTCAGGTATTTTCATATTGAATTTTTAAAAATTCCCCAACTACTTGCCGTTGTAAGCTTAATGTAAATATCTATGTTGTCATAATCCTGAGTCCGTGACTCGGTGATTTTGTGTTTGGTGTATTTATTGTTATTATTTTCATTATTATTTGGAGGGTGTTTTGTGATGGTTTGTGTTTTGGGTTTTAGATACTGGGTTTCTGGGTTTGTGCTCCCTCTGTTGGTCCCTGGTGTTAGTGTTCCCCTGTCTTGTCAGGTTAATCAGGTCCAGCTGTGTATTTATAGTGTGTGTTTGCCTCTGTTCCTCGTCGCGTTGTCTGTGTTCATCCTCTGTGTTACCCTGCGTACTCTGCATTTCTCCGTGAATCCCCTGCTGTCCTCCCTTCATGTTCAGGTTTTCTACTCTTTGGTTTAGTTTCTCCCAGTTTAGTTCATCCTTAGTTCTGTTTTGCCATCCCCACTTTATGTTCGGTGTTCTTAATAAATCACCCTCACATCTGAATAAGTGCTGCATTTGAGTCCTCCTTCCACACATCACACGGCTGCTGCACCAGTCGTGACAGTACGACGCGACCACAAGATGGACCCAGCAGCACTTAATCCATCTAAGGAGCTATGGGAGAATCTCATCGATGCCTTACAAGAGCTCATCGACCTGTGGCTGGAAAGCTCGGATGACAAGTCCCATCACGCTATAGAGAGGCGGCTACAACGTCTGGTGACCGGTCTCCCATGGCTTCTGGGCTCGCTATATCCGTGGGAGCAGGAATTTCTCCTTTTGGATCTTGGACTTCATCCCCCGTCTGCATTCACTTTCGAGCAGCCAGATGCGGTGAGTGAGCGGGATACTTTGGCTTCCCCAGATTCCGGGACTTTGTTTTCGGGGGCTATTCAGAGCGGGATGAGAGATAGTATGTGTAGCTTACCTACCTTTGTGGTAACGGACCCTTCCCAAGTGGGGGTCTATAAACCTTCTGTTAAACCAAAAGACTGTCTCTGCCGCTCCAGCCGAGCCTGGACTTTATTGCCACTCTCCAGCTCAGTTTTGTGTTCAGCCGTTAGCTCCCCAGTCAGTAGCACAGCCATTAGCCTCCGCAGGAGCACTATTAACTGTTCAGCCACCATTTCGGTCAGCCACTCAGCTACCATCACCACTAGCATCACTACAACCCATATTTCTGTCCATGGCTCAGTCAGCAGCTCAGTTAATGGCTGAGTCACAATCTTCACTCGCCCCTCTACAGGAAGCTATGCCCATACACCCCTTAAAGGACTGTTTTTCCGCCGCTGTTTCTGAGCAGGGAGACAAACTGTTTCACAATGGACCTGTTCCTCAAAAGCTGGCAACATTAGAGACTACTACTCACTCCAGGGCTTCCCCAGAGGCTGGGTTACAACCCTCAGCTTACTCTGGACCCCTGGAGGCCAAGATGCCAGCTAGGGACTGCACCCGGCTGTCACTGCCTGAGCAGAGTCAGTGCTCTGCGCAACTGCAGCCTTCCTCATGTGTGCCAGAGGCCCATGTGCCTACTGGTTTTGTTTCACATTCACCAGAGGCCCACGAGCCTGCTGGTTTTGTTTTGTGTGTGCCAGGGGCGCCCATGCCTACTGGTTTTGAGCCTGTTTTTGCTGGGGGGACCAAGGAGCCCATCCAGCCTTCGCCATCATCAGCAGCTTCCGCTGAGGGGTCTCAGGAACCTCTTCAGCCTGTTGCTTTCGCTGGGGGGACCGAGGAACCCATCCAGCTTTCACCATCGCCTGCAGTGCCACCACCTGCAGCGCCTTCGTCTCCAGCTTCCACGCCGCCGCCTGCAGTGCCTTCGTCTCCGGCTTCCACACCGCCGCCTGCAGCGACATTCTCGTCTGGTCCAGTTTCAGAGCCTTCAGCCTCACCTGGTCCAGCTTCAGCCTCAGCTTCGCCTTCGCCCAGTCCAGCGCCGGCATCGGCGTCATCCACGCCTGGTCCAGCGCCGGCATCGGCGTCATCCAAGCCTGGTCCAGCGTCGGCATCGGTGTCATCCATGCCTGGTCCACCGTCGGCATCGGCGTCATCCACGCCTGGTCCAGCCTCCGTGTCTGCATCCTTGTCTGGTCCAGCCTCCGTGTCTGCATCCTCGCCTGCAGCAGAGGCTTCATCATCCTCATCATCACCTGCTGCATCAGCTTTGGCTTCGCCCGGCCTCTGCTTCAGCTCTGGCTTCGCCTGGCCCGGCCTCTGCTTCAGCTCCAACCCCGCCTGGTTCAGCTTCAGCAGCAGCTTCTGCCTCATCCTTCTCCTCATCCTTGCCTGGTTCTGCTGCTGGCATGCCGCCATCCGGTCCACGTCTAGCACCACCTCATCATCACTGGCCGTTTTCTAGGCCGCTGGCTGGTCGTCATCGCCGTTGTGGACGCCCTCCTGAACGAGGTCGCCGCCGCCACTGCCTTCCGCATGGACGGCCTCCTGAACTGTTTGCGCGCCGCCACGGCCTTCTTCGTGGCCGGCCTCCTGAACTGTCCCATCCTGGCCTTCTGTGCTATTGGCCCCCAGGCCGGCCACCTGAACTATGTTTCGGACTCCCAGTCCCCTGTGTGTTTTGTTAACGTTTTGTTTGGGACTCTGGGGCCTCCATTTTTTTCCTGGTCCAGTCCCTCTGTCCTGGACCCCCTACCGCCCACCCGGGTCTGGTGGTGTTTTTCTGTGGCTGTCGGGAGCCAGCCCTTGGGGGGTACTGTCATGATCCTGAGTCCGTGACTTGGTGATTTTGTGTTTGGTGTATTTATTGTTATTATTTTCATTATTATTTGTGGGCTGTTTTGTGATGGTTTGTGTTTTGTGTTTTAGATACTGGGTTTCTGCGTTTCTGCTCCCTCTGTTGGTCCCTGGTGTTAGTGTTCCCCTGTCTCGTCAGGTTAATGAGGTCCAGCTGTGTCTTTCACCTGTGTGTGTGATTTTTCCCAGTGTCCCTCTGTGTATTTATAGTGTGTGTTTGCCTCTGTTCCTCGTCGCGTCGTCTGTGTTCATCCTCTGTGTTACCCTGCGTACTCTGCATTTCTCCGTGAATCCCCTGCGTGCTCTCCCTGCTGTCCTCCCTTCATGTTCAGGTTTGCTACTCTTTGATTTAGTTTCTCCCAGTTTAGTTCATCCTTAGTTGTGTTTTGCCATCATCACTTTATGTTCAGTATTCTTAATAAATCACCCTCACATCTGAATAAGTGCTGCATTTGAGTCCTCCTTCCACACATCACACGGCTGCTGCCCCAATTGTGACAGACATGGTAGCTACAGAAGTTTTTACAACTCTTCATTATGTGTGTGTGTTCACATGTGTATATGTGGCCCTATAGTAGCTCCACTTGAGAAGCAAAACAAAAAAGTTAAGTGCTGTAGTGCTGGAGGGTTGGCAGCAGAGTTTCATAATTTCATTGCGTCTGTAATGTCATGAAAAGTAAGCTTCACCAACCACAAAAGCTGAGTTTCCTCTTACATTTTTGACTAGCTGCTGCGTCACACACTAACCTTGCCTCACTTCACACAGATAAACAGAAAAAGAAAGAACGTTTACTGTAATACTTCATAAAGGATAGAGAAATATCTTATTTTCCATCATGCACACACCAAACATCACCACAGAAGACCGGATATATGGCTTCATTATGGTGATAGGTCTCGCCTCTCAAAGTGGCTCACTGGATTCGTCTTCGCTGTCACGTCTCAAATCACCCAATGTCGTTTTCATGGTCAACCTGGTCATCTCAGCCTGCTGCTCATCCTCACTTTGCACATGAGGGTCCCCTTTCACGCCACAGGCACTGTGTGTGTGGTCAAATGAATGGCAGCAGCCTCATGGCCCTCTGCTCACTTCTATGGCTGCAAATAATGTGTCAGCATTATGTTTTGGGCATTATCAGGAAAGATCTGTGTGAGCAGAGCAATTGGTGGAAAGTTAACATTAGGTATTCACATATTCTGACAGTTTTGTTAGTTTGTAAAACAATAATTGTACAGATCTACATAATGCTGCTTTGTAAATATAGACCATCTAGTATCCGCTTAGTACAAATAAGGGGAATTTTCAACCACACATTGGGCATAAAGTGGTAAATGGGTGATTGCTGGCAGATAAAGAGCCCGCTTCTGGCAGTCGTCCAGTACTGTGCTATGCGTTTCCCATGTGGCTGACTGATATCTTATTTGGAAAGTTAAATGGGCAACATTTAGTTACTGTAATAGCTTATTTTTTTTTCTGTATTGACACATTATCATTTGCTAATTCAGTGATAAACTATACCTTTTACTCTACGCATAAAAATAAGACATGGTTAACTGGTAGAGCCCTATGAGGTATGTTTACTATATCATACCAACCATGTATTTATTTAATTTAAAGCAAAGCGGTAACACTTTGTTCACAGGCAGAACATTCCATTTATAGTAGTGTTTTTTCTGTATTTTAACAGTTGTGGTTAGACAGGTTTTTAGTCCTGTCCTCTTTTTCTTTGGTTTTGCACTTAAAGTTTTGCATGAATTCTGATAAAACTTTGTAGGTGTGTGGAGTGGGATTATATTAACGCTTAATTAAAATTTGGCTTACATCCACCAAGGTCTTCAAGGTCAACTTTAATGATTTAGTGGGTGAAGAAAGCCTTATAACTTAAACTATGGTTCTTACAAGTATGGTGTGTATGGTCAGCAAATAGAAAGCATTGCATAAAGATTTAAAATATCATGTCACATCTGATCCCTGACGTCTCCTTCAAGGTCCAGAGACTGATCTGAAGTGATAGCAATGCTACTGTAAACTGTAGTATAATATTATAGAATCAGCTCAAGTCATTCATGTCCTGTTATACACGTTACCCATTAGCCACTGCTACAAAGTCTTTGTGTAATCAAAGTCAATTCAATTCAAATTCACAATTCATTAAAAAGCAACTGTATTTGTCCCTAAGGGGCAATTAAAAAGACAATTAAATATCTGTCCTGCTACCCTTATCTGATTTTTGCTATACTATGAACCTATTAAAGTATTTTAAAAAGAAAAGAACAAAGAGAACAAGATGGATATATGTAGAATACAGCACTGTTCCCTTATAGGGTGAGCTGGAAGGAGACAAACTGTCTGTCTGTGCTGTCTGGGTACCTCGGCTTTGTCCCACAGTCCAAAGGCATGCTTGTGAAGTTAACTGATTATTCTAAATTGGCTGTAGATGTGAATGTGAGCATGAATACTTCTGTCTCACTGCATTTGTATTGTGATAGACTGGTGACCTGTCCCTCCTCTCACCCACTGACAGCTGAGATAGACTCAAGCCCAAATTAGAAAAGATGGAACTGGATGGATGGGTTTACAAGCATACACGGGAACACTGGTGTACTGCCTGATGGTTTTCCATAAGACCAGAGATCAACAACCTACGGCTCTTTCGCCCCTGAGCTATGGCTCTTACCTGGCTTGCAGATTTGGGTAAAAAAAAATATTAAAAAAGTAAAATTAAATAACATTTGAAATGTTACAGGTATAGTCTCCCCTTTAGGAAAGTAACCTGATGGGTAATGTATTCTGTGCCAGAGGCTGAAGTGGAAGACAGGCACATGCGCGCCAGCGACTGAGTGAAGTGCAATGAAGTTTACGGAGATTGGGAAAAAGAAACCTATGCTTATAGTACTAGCTAGTGCAACCAGAGGGGCATGTAAAGGACCCATTTCTAAGTGAAATGTTAGTAGGCTATACCAGACCAGGAAGCTATAGCAGCTACGAGATGAACTCTGACTCACACAGGCACTTGAACGCAGAAGCTGGCAGTGTTAAATTTACCTCAAAACCTACGTGGGCATACCGACGTGATCTGTGCGTATCAGGTGATTCGTCCACACGTATGTAAGGTTTTGTGAGCGAGCGAGAGAGCTGTTTCGTGTAGTCTTATACGTTTGTACGCACAAAAAGGCTTTTGATAGTCAAAATGATCGGATTCTTGAAGCTGATCTTAATAAATTAATTATTTACTCAGGTTTGGATGTACGCGTTTGTAAAATAGTTTTACGTGTGGTCAGATATTTCTGTGTGGATTGAAGCACGCGCGTGAGTCCTCTAAAGTTACACACGCATCATTGAATACGTTTGTAAAGCTTAGTTTACGCTTTTGAGACATATTTCTCTCCATATTTCGGAGGCCTGCATATCTTGAGATCCGCATAGCAATGCGAGCAGGTTTTCTCAAACATAAACTACAGGAAGTCCAAACACCTTCTTGCAGCCCTGATATGGAAATCAAACAAAACAAAGTGAGAACACTATTATTTAATATGCTGTCATTTTCAATCACAAAATATCTATAATACCTTTTGCAAATATCTGTATATGTTCGACCCTGACCTCAAGCTGTTTTATTGTTGCCTGTTGAGAAGAGGACAGTACACTGAAATAGACTGAAGTCATAATTTCATGCAAAAAGCTTTCATGATTACTCTTTTTATTTTAAAATTATTACTCCACTGCTACATTTTATTTATTTGAAAGTGGGCTGTTTGTTATTTGATGAATTTTCCATAAGGTGTGAACTCAAATAGACCTGTGGGTGGAGAGGCTAAAATGTGTTTTTTTGATGTTAAAGGTTGCCGTCCCCTACATTAGACATAGCCATATTGCGTTAACAATTTGTTTAAAAGTCCTACAATGTCACATCCAAAAAGTTGGGACACTGTCCCAAATGTCAATAAGACATGTAAAATATTTACAGTGAGAAAGTTGGAATCTGATTGCAGCAATATATCTTAGGAGACAGAGGCACCAAAAGCTAGAAAACAGAAATAATGAGAGCAATATTTTGCAGCTTATTGGGTTAATAGGCAACAGATCAGTAACATGAGTTGGTATAAAAGCAGCATCTTAGAGAGGCAATAGTTTCTGTGTAGTAAAGAGAGCCGCATGATAAAAGTGGCTCTGCCATCCAAGATCACAATAACGTCAAAGCACAAATGTAGAGGAAGAGCTTATGAGATGAGCTTGAGTTTCCTGTAGTGAGACTAGTTACAGTCACAAACTAGTCACGCCTCACTCACAAAGAAAAACCACACAAAGAGGAACCTTTGCCACTCTGCTTCAGTTCTTTAAAAAGGACATTCAGACATTTCTTTTCTCATCATGAACACATCAAACAGCACCACAGAAGATGACCGGGTTTATGCTGGGATCTTTGGCTGCATTATGGTGATAGGTCTGCCACTCAACGCAGTCTCACTGTGGATTCTTCTTCGCCGCCACAGCCTCAAATCACCCAACGCTGTCTTCATGGTGAACCTGGCACTCTCAGACCTGCTAGCCATCATCTCTTTGCCCATGAGGATCTACCATCATGCAACAGGCACCCCACTGGGAATTTTCACATGCCTCTTCAGCCTAATAATCTTTCGCAAAAACCTCCGCTCCAGCGCCTCCTTCATCACCTTCATAAGCGTGGACCGACTGCTGGCTGTGGTTTATCCTCTGAGGTCTCGCCATCTTCGGACCTCGTGCAATGCCTGGAAAGGAGCAGCACTCGTCTGGGGGGTTTTCCTGGTGGTAAATATCCCAGAGGGCATAGGATTTGTAAAACACGTACAGAACCACACAGAACACAATTGTTTTCAATCTCATTATTATAAAAGTATAACACGATCAGCAATTATTTACCTTCAGATTGTGTTACTGGTCACAATGCTAGCAGTCAACATTGTGTGCACCGTTATGGTTTCTTGGACTCTACACAAACATCTCAGTGACTCTGCAAAGGTCAGAAACAAGGTGAACGTAATGCTGATTTTTGCCATCAACTTGCTTATATTCTGCACATGTTTTCTGCCCATGCCACTACATGCAGTTACAAAAAGCAAAGGAAAAATAGCTCCACTGGCATGTCTGACTGTTTTGAGCTGCTGTCTGGATCCACTGATGTATTATTTTTCTTTTGACTCCTTCTGGAAGCAAAAAGAGGACGTGGGAAGAGAACTATAGATTAGTGACCTGCTAGAGTTGCTATCAGATGTCCCACGATACATGCCTGTTTTTTTGTTTTTAACAAAGTAGCTCGTTTGTGCACAAGATTCTTAAGTAGTTCAACCACATGCAAAGTTTTCAGCAGTTAACCATCAATATTCATTTCTTCAGCAACATTTGCGTGAAAGCCAGAGACTGAAACAGCAAAAGCAAAGGCTTGGGTTAGTGGCTTCATATTTTATTTTCACTGCAACATGAAAGCCTCAGCCACAGAAAGTATGGAAAAAGGCAGCAAATCACATAATTGATTAAATCTACTTTATATTTGTTCACTTCACAACCAGTGTTGCCAACTTAGCGACTTTGTCGCTATATTTAGCGAGTTTTCAGACCCCTTGTTGAGAGTAAAAGAGATACGCGCTTTCACGCGCAGCACCCGCTGCTGTAGCGACTTTTTTTTTTTTAGAAAAAAAGTCGCTACAGCAGCGGGTGCTGTAACGCAGTCAGTTCTTCTTTTACTCTTTTACTCTTATGCTGTTTTGTGGATCACAAGGTTTAAAACTACTTATAAACACACACACACAAAGTAACTCCACCAGAGTGCCTATTTCGGGTCACTTGCCGGTCCAGGCCCGGGTAAAGGAGCAGGGTTGGAATTGTGACATTAAAAAAAAAAACAATAATTGCTAAAAGAAATTTAATTTGTAGTTCTAAATAAACTCTAAATGCATTTAGGACGTTTTTTACTCACTTTATGTCTCTTCCACGATGTTATTTCTCTCTCCAACAACATAGATTACAATTAGATTAGCATGACCAATTATGCAAATTAGGCGATGACGTCATTTAGCGACTTTTAGGACAACCAATAGCGATTTTCCTTACTGAGGAGTTGGCAACACTGTTCACAACTGAGGAAGCAGCTTGTCTAAATCAGTTAGAAAGCTTCTGGAAGTCACCGCTTGTTGAACTAAATACTGTCAGGACATGAAACAAACCACCTTTTAACAAACAGATAAGAAAAACAGTAATGTTGGGCTAATATATGTCAAAGTGTATAAAGATTTTAAATAAAACAAATATTTGTTGTTTACAAAGATGCTTTTTTGTTTTGTTTGTTTTCTTTTGTGTAACAGCAAAATGTACATTACTTAACTGTCCTGTAGCTGATGCGGTGTTTCCTGGAGGAAAAGATTATAAAAGGATGAAGAATTCTTTTTCTACAGTTAAAGCTGAAGATTCATAAAACTTCCAGAAATACCAGTAAAGTTCACCAATGTTTGACTGGTGTTTACTATAGATTCTGCATTATCCACTTTTCTGTGATGTGACCATGCACAGAGTGGTCAGTAGAAGAAGGTTTAACTCAGCTGACATAGCTGCAGATGAAGATGAAGATGCAGATACATGGTACTGGACTGTGAGCACGGGGCCCACTAAAGGATGTTGGAACCTTGTGCCACCTTCACAAAGCCTTTTCCTGACAGTTTGATAACTAACATGCACAGGAATAGCCTGCTGGAGGTCATTCTGTGGGAGTCTGGCAGCTCCTCCTAGTAGAAATGAGCAGACACTGATCTTGCCCTTTAGGGTGAGGCCTTTCTATGGCCCTGTCCAACTCTCTTTGTGCAACCTGCCATCTCCTGGTATCTCCTCCATATACTCAAGACTGAGCTCGGAGACACAGCAAACCTTCTTGCATGGATGTGCCATCCTGGAGGAGTTGGACTACCTGTGCAACCAGAATTGGCTGTAAGCATCTGGGCTACCAGCAGTGACAAGGACAGTAGCTAAAAACCAAACAAAAGGAAAATCAGTCAGGAGGGAAAGTAGAGAAATGGTCTGTGGACACTGTGGCTCTCCAGTGCACCTGTTGCCACTTTTATTTATCATCACCATATGTGATGATAGCGCACAAGCGCCACATATTTAAATGTTTTCCAGAAAAAGACTCCAAACGAGGAACATTCACTGTGTCCAGTCTAATCATTTATCATCACGCTGCCACATTTAAGAAATTGTTTCCTGTTCTTCTGTTTAGTTTTAGCACAGGTTATCTACTGTAATAACATGTCTTTACCTGTTTATTCAAACGGATCATCTCTGTTCAAAACTTGCACTTATTAAAGGTAACTGAAAACAAACCATCTGGCATCCATCATTGTAAATTCACATGAGCCTAGGCCCTGTAATGTTTCATACTTTTTATTTATTTCATGTAAAATTAGGCTTTCTTTTTTTTTTACACAGTCCATATCTCATTTTTATGTGTACAGCTGAACAGTGACGAAAAATATCTTATTTGAGTATAAGATGGGGAAAATCCCTAAATTACACAATACTTAAAATAACAAAACTCTAAAAATTTAATTGACTTGTTATTTGTTTTATTTTCAATGTTCTTGAAAGTTAAAAAAAAAGTGAGGGAAGGAAATAAGGCAAGCTGACTGCAGATTAGTGAACTTCAGTTTGGAAGCCATTTATGTGTGAACTTTATCATGGTCCTGCCTGCAATGGAGTCACAGTGGTTACAATAGCCTAGATTAAAGACGCAACTCAAAAATAATACTGTCATTTCCTCTATTTCTAAACCATCATGATCTGAGGCTGCAGATTGTGTGAGACCAATCAGTGAGGACCAGAATGAAGACCACACAGGAGAAATTGGTAAAAGAAAACAAGACGTTTATTTTGTATTTTGGCTGACACAATAAACAAGACAAACCTAAATGCAACAGGGAAGATGAAATGGGAAAATACTTTATAGAAGCAGGGGTGATTTTAGCTCATCTTTGGGGGTGCTTCATCACCCCCCAAAATAAATCAAAGCACCCCCAAAGATTTCTTACTTTTTTTTGAAAATATTTGCTGTTTGTGGGACACACTACTAAAAATATAAAAAGCATACAGTACTTAATTGAGATGGAACATTTTAACAACAAAAGTATAGATAACCCCTCCCCCCTCCCAAAATGGTTTGTTCCAGCTCGGCTCTCCCCTGCTCTGGCTCTAGCACCTTTGCTGCCAGAGCGATAGTGGCTGAGCGGAGGTGGGAGTGCGTGGCTTAAAACAGGACATGTTAGCTGCATTTAACTTTCAGTTACTCTTTATATAGTTTGGTAGGAGTCAGGCCATGTTTCTTTTTAGCTGAAAAACATTATAACAGGTAACCTGCAGTGTTGAAAACTTGTTTTCCGACGATGTTTGCTAGTGATGGTGAGATGAAGCCTCATGATGAACTGAAGCTTCCCATCCAACTGGTCGACTCATGGTTCGAAGCATTGTGATGATTCATTTGCTCTACTGCGCCATCAAGTGGAC